AGCAGCAGCCCCACCACCAAAGAGAGCCTCACCACCTCGGGGAGACTCAGGAGGGCCAGCAAGCCGAGGAGGCCGAGCAGGCACCCCAGCCACAGCTACACCGCTCTGGTCGTACCCATGCTCCAGTTTTACCGAGGCCGCCGACACAGCGGAGGGGATCACGTCCACAGCCTAGACATCAGGGTCCTCCAGTGGTACATCTTAACTTAAGGGCCGCCACGGCCAAGCAGGTTCAGCAGCTTCGCTTCGTGGAGTTTGATGTGTGGTTTCCTCCTAGGAGGGATGAGAGAGCAGCAGAGGGTTTCTACACACCACTACAGGAGGATTTTTACAATGCTTATCTCAACAGTGGGGCAGTGTTCAGATCTCAGCGGGTTTGCAGTATAGAGTCTATTGTGGCAGCAGCCGGAGAGCATATCCGCCCCTACTTATCATATTTGCTGAGGCTGACAGATCTGATTGGCCGGACAGTATTATATGTACCATCTTGGGTTCGGCAGTTCTATGCTTCGCTCTACATTGACCCGCATCATAACTTTATACACTTTGCATTCAGAGGCAGAGACTACAGGATGATGAGTTTTAGGGCCAGGGAGATACTGAGGCTACAGGAGCAGCCTGTCAAGTTACATTAGGTTTGTTATGGACAGCAAGAGCCTCCCAGGCGTCCTTATGGTGGTAAGGTGCCACCTACAGAACTTGTGCGCCATTGCTTCAAGGAGCCATTTGGTGAGGGGTCAAGGAGGAACCCTAGTGACCTTACACTTACAGCTAGAGTGCTAGAGGCTATCATTAGGAGGACACTACTTCCCAGGTTGGGATACAGAGAGGGCTTGACTCGCCTCTAGCTTTGGCTTCTCAATGCACTGATGCAGCAGACTGTCTTCGATATTTGGGACCTCCTTCTATCAGAGATGCAGGACACTATTGCTGAGGGTTTCAAGGGTCGCAGGCAGCTTCCCTATGCACATTGGATTACATTTCTTATGCTGAAGGCAGTGTCAGTTAGGACACTAGAGATGGTTGCAGAGTACAGATGTGCCACCACAGAGTTCCCAGCATATAACATGGTAGAGGATCAGACACAGCACTCCTCAGGCACCCAGTCAGCCTCGCCGTCGCCCAGATGTACCAGAGTCCGCAGCTCAGCAGGACGAGATTATTAGAGGCATAGCAGCTACTAAGGAGGAGCAGCTTGAGGCTCAGCAGGACAGGAGCGAGTCTAGTGACAGTTCGGATGACGACTGTCTTCCTATTCCTCAGATGCCTCCACGCAGACACGATGCAGAGGCCGACAGTTCCAGCTCAGCTCCACCTGCACCGCAGACGGACCCCGCTCTCATAGCTATTCTTGAGCGGATGCAGCAGGATCAGGCACGACAGGCTTAGGAGACCGCTGCCAACTTTGCACAGTTTCAGGCTCGTCAGGACGAGTTCCAGCGCCAGCAGCAGGTCCTCCAGCAGCAGCAGCAGATGCATCAACAACAGTTACTCATGCAGCAGTAGCTTATGGGATTCATGCAGCATGTAGTGACAGCTCTTGGGGCCCCACAGCCACAGCCTTCGCCCCAGCTTGCTCAGCCTGCCACCACTACGACGACTCCAGCAGTACAGCCCAGTGGGCTTCAGAGTCAGGGACAGCCTCCAGCTCAGTTTACTTCTCCCCCAGTACAGGTGTCCCAGTGGTTATCCTCGCCGGTGATAGCCCCGTAGTTCACTCCACTTCAGACGGGCTTCACACCGGACCAGTCACCCTCGCTATTTGTGCATGACACGTCAGTCTTCAGGAGTCTTGGAGCATCGTTTAGCGAATTGACAGGAATGCCTACACCGCCACATATGCATGCTGCCGGTCCTTCTACAGCAGCTCCTGTCGTAGTGACTACTCAGAGGCTCCCTTCTTCAGTCGCATCATCAGATCCTACGACAGATGTACTAGCAGCATCACAGGCAGCACCTGCCCCAGCTCAGACCCAGACCGCTTCAACGACACTTCCTACTTCAGAGGGTCAGTCAGCACAGAGCTCAGGGTCAGATGATGATGGCACCCAGTTTACGCTTGCTCCTCGTTCTTCCATGCCCGACTCGTCCGCTGCAGCCCCGCCGACCAGCCCTTAGGTTTTGGTGTTTGATGCCAAAGGGGGAGAGGGTTCGAGTATGTAGACTCAGGGGGAGCGTCATTTAGGGGGAGCTAGTTAGCTATTAGTCTTTTATATACATTTGGAGTTTTATTTGTGTGATACACTATTACTATTATGCATTCGTGTGTTTACTTTCATGCATACTATTATATCTATGTGATAGCGATATCTACGTGATTGTGATATATGACATGTGTGCTCTCTACTTTTGGTATTCATTGATATGTCACATCACTTGTGTTATGCTCATTTGCTTTTGCTTCCGTGTTTATACTCCGATGCAAATGAGCTTTATTATTTGTACTCATACTTATTTCATATCATTTGAGTACATCATAATGGCTTGGGTTATATAAGCTTGACTAACTCTTTTGTTCTTATTGCTAAAAGCTTATATGATCCAAGCATGTTAAAAACCTCAACTCTTTCACATACTCGAGGTTGTATTGTCATCAATCACCAAAAATGGAAAGATTGAAAGCATTTAGGCCTCTAATTGTGTTTTGGTGATTAATGACAATGTTAGATTACTGTGACTAACGTGTGTTTTGCAGAGGCAATTAAGTTAGGTCACGATAATGGTGATCGATTAGGCAATCATGGTTGTCATGCTCCTACGATGGAAATCGTTTTGGTTTTCAAAGGATGGACGACAAGGTTAAGGATGACTAGTTCTAAGTGTCGATTGGAGTTGGAGAGACACTTAGAGTAGTTTAGGACTTTGTTTTTCCTTTGGTCGTACTATTAAGGGGGTTATGGATGAGTAGCTTGACCTAGATGAGTCTAGTGAGTTAGGTGTGGTGCACACTTGTTGAAACTAGCACTAGGTAGCTCCTAAATATGCCTAAGATCATTTGGAGCAAACTTCATTCAAATGATCGAGAGTTGGAAGTGAATGGAGGGTCAAAGACTGACCGGACGCTGGCTCCGGTGTGACCGGACGCTGGCCGTAGGGTCCGGTCAATTCATTTGACTGAGGTGAACTAGTCCGGTTTGACCGGACACTGGAGAGGTCAAGTGACCGGACGCTGGTCCGACGCTGGAGAGGTCAAGTGACCGGACGCTGTGAATCAACCCGTAGAGAGCACTTGATCCTTGCGCGAATCAAGGGGGAGCTACACCCTTGCGCGGGTGCTCCAACGAGGACTAGTGGGGAGTGACGACTCTCCGATACCTCGGCAAAACATCGCCGCGTTTCCTCTCATCTCTTTACTTTGAGCATTTACTTTAAGCATTACTTTGAGCAATTCAATTCTTGTCATTTACATTCCTAGAATTGCCATGCTAGAGTAGGATTGAAACTTAGGTTGCAAGTCTATTTGTGCGATAGAACATTACAAACACTTTTTAGGCAAAGGGGTTAATTGGGCTATCAATAGGATTTAATTACTGCAAGAAAAATTAGAATTAGCCCAATTCACCCTCCTCTTGGGCATCTTGATCCTTTCACCTTTATTGGCGTAAGAATGGCTTGCCGAATCGGGTATAGAACATCCTTTATCCCCTTGTGTATAGGCTGCATGCCATTGTGCCATCGAGAAGGGGGGTTCCTACATCTGTGTGCCGAGTGAATCTAATGGCCATAACTTGTTAGACAAACCTTTAAAAGGCTTCATTATGAACCCTGCCGACCTTCCTCGGTAATGGAAAGAGGCTGATCACCTCGGGCAAAAGGGTAAATCACGACTTACAGTGAAAATGTACAACCTCTGCAGAGTGTAAGACTGGTATATCAACCGTGCTCACGGTCACGAGCCGCCTTGGAACATTTACGGAATAGATGATGAACACTAATGATACGGATGATAAAGATGCCCATTAATGATTACTGTTTATGCTATTTATTATTCATGATTACCTGATCATGTGTTTATGGGCTTATGATAACTTTGTTGCCACCCAATTGCTAAAAGGTGACTCATTAAAAGTTAATCGCAGTTAAACCAGTGTCAGCCTTTTGAGCCTCATGAACCCCATGTTATATTTGTTGAGTACGACATGTACTTACGCTTGCTTTATTTTTTAAATCTTTGAAAAAATCCCGGATGGGTATCAGATTGCTAGAGTTTGGAGAAATTAGACTTGTGATCAACCAGTCAGTTGTCCCTGTGGAAGTGGAGTCTTCACCCGAAGATCGGAGTTGTCTTTCCGCTGTTTACTGTCTAAAGTTATATCCTTTATACTAAGTATGTTATATATTAAGCATTGTCTATTGATATTACCTTTATTTGTAGCTATATGTGATATTTGACTTTCTAGGCTCACATATGGTGTGTATCTAGTTTTGTTCTTAAAACCGGGAGCTACATTTCCGTGCTATAAGTTTGACTAGATTATAGAAAATACGTGCAACATTTGTATCTCCAAATAAATTTATTATGAAAATAGATTCAACAATCTATCTAATGATATTAATTATGTACCATAAATATTAATATTTTTATATAAAATTAGTCTTTCTCAGAAAGCGAGAACTACAATTAGTTAGGGATGGAGGGAGTAGATTCTTGAAGTGATATATAATGTTGCACTGGGAAAACTCATACAACAATGCAAAATGCGTAGAGCAAGAACGTAAATGAATAGAATACAGCATATGGACAATATAAATGCAATTTCATAAACATCCCTTGGACCTTCAAGAATTGTCATCAATTCATCATGTGCATACCACTCTGCCAAGTAGTGTTATGGCTAACAGAAACACAAGGAAAGCTAGCAAAGCAAATGAGAAGCCCTAAAACTTAGGAAACAAAAAGGAACTTACACAACTGCGCTTGAAGAAAAAAATACGTTAAGAACTGAAAGCTTAAGAAACAAACATGCTAGAAAGGTTGAATTCATGAGGCTTCAACATGATCAGATGTAAATGATTATACATGCAATATTTGTGTACTCAGAGCAGGGGATAATCAGAAAGTGCAAGCAGATCGAGACAATACAAAGAGATGCGAGTCCTAACCCATCCTTCCAATCATATTGAGTGATATCCCAAATCGCTTTGTTGAGTGCATGAAGAGCTATCTTCTTAACCTGGTGACTCAAAATCATACGATGCATGTAGAATTTCAGAATGTAGCTTAACAAGTTCTGTTCTAGGCGAAACAGAACAACAATATTGACAATGCCCAAGGATAATTTATATGTGATCATATTAAGGAATGAAGTATCGATAAACGAAAGGACCTTCTATATAGAAAGGATTACAGAGAGTATGGGCAGGGCAGACCTCTAGTTTGTCTTCATTCGCTAAAGGATGGAATTCTTCTATCAACCTAATGCACTCTTGAAAATTTTCTGGAGAAACAAAACCAAGAGCCACCTGTGTACATGACTGCATATAACAAAAGAGTGTCACAGATAATAGCATTGATTATGATCCAATGCATGCCACTAATAGCCATGGGAACAAAAACCTGTGTCCACACTTATCATCATACCTTCAAATTTCTGACCTGGTGGGGACATCCTGCTGGGACAAACACTGCATCACCAAGCTGCTGTTCGAATGTCCAAGGCTCAATTCCTGCATAGGCAGTGATAAGAGCCAGGAAGTGAGCCAAATAATTTAAGTTAAAAACGCATCAACATTAACTGACCATATTCTTCCTTAAGCTTTTGCTTGTGCTCTTGTGTTAGATAAAAGCACTGATCATGTATAGCATGAGTAACCTGCCAACATACAAGGTTATGCAACACGAAAATCATATGTCAAATGATGTGCCATGGACAAATAGTGAGTACAACAAGGCACCTGCTTCACCAGTTCATAATTGCAATGCCTAAACTCCTCTGCATGTTTCATCAGATAATCATGCAGCTTGCCAACATCTTCCCGTCGGAAAATATCCCACAGTGCACCACCTTCTGGTTTGCTTCCCTCTACAAATGGGAGATCTTCATCTTCTGACTCAAGAGATATAGCAATATGTTTTGTATCATTCCCCTTGCATGTCTTCTTATTTCTTTTTCCTATTGCATTGGAAGAATTACAGGCACAACGTTTACTGCATTTTCGGCCACTAAGTTGGGCACATATTCCTTCTGCAGAATTAGTAGGTGTTCCACCAGCTAAATCTGCATGCTGAAGCTTGTATTAATTTACTCGCTTCCTCGGTGGACAAGATCTCCTTTATTTTCTTTACTGCAGCAATCCTTTTTTATTTGAGCTTTATTTCATCAGTATGTGTGAGGATATGGACCTGATAAAGGCAGTAGAAATCAGCGAGTGGAAGACCATTAAAAAAAGGGCAAAAAGCTTAACAAAAAGGAAAGGATAAGTAAAGAAAGGTTCACCTATGGGGAAAAAAGAACAGGTAAATGAGATCCTTAGATCATTTGGGGATAGCCATTGACAGGAAGATGACCGGACAAAGTCGGCATGGAGGGAGACTAGAGTAGTTTGGGGGAATTGGATTCTTCTTCTTCATTGCTTGATTGAAAGGAGACACCATCCCATCCTTATATATATATGAGAGGAGACTTGACCCCTAAGAAACTAATCCTAGAAATAAGTGACCTGATCTAATCTAATCTCTTTCCTAATCCTTATCCCTTGCCATGTGAGGTATGTGGGCTGGCCCTCCGGCCACCTGTAACATGAAGCGATGGCAGCATTGTGGCAAATCGGTCCTGATAATTAAGATTAATGATTACTACATCTGACTTATAGTCCAAGCCATGGTCAACCACATGAGGAAATGATATTATAACTAGTGTTAAGCCATTGGCAATAAGTGCTCTGTTCGCTTGGCTGATAAGCCATGGCTGAAAGTATTGTTGGCTGATTTGTTGTGAGAGAAAAATACTATTCGTCGGCTGAAAAAGTACGACTTATAAGCCAAGCGAACAGGGCGACGAGGTCTAGTTTCTCGTACAAAACCCTAAAACCATGATGAGATATTTGTAACTCAAACTAGCATTGCTGATCTATAAGACTATTACTACAGCGGTGTTAAATCCTTGACGATAAATGTGTTTTTTGTAGTACTTTAAGACAACTGAAAAAATCAAACCTATAGATAAGCTAGTCAGAACAGACAATGGCATATAGAAATACATAGGCAGTTTTTCATAACTACTCCTATGTTGAGAACCGAGCTGGTGCTCATTTGGTCAGCTGAGCGTGCACTCAGGCTGCCCACCCGGGTTCTAGTGCTGATACTCGCCCGGGTGCCTCACCTAGGTGATTTATTCCCCGTTAATAATTCCAGTTGCCTCGCACGGATGAGCTCTCAGTCGTGTACTCTTAGCCCTAGATATAGGTTTTAGGTCTAGCTTAGGTACTAGGGGTGTGAGTGTGTTAGCGTGTGTGGTGTGTGTTGGTGCGTGAGTTCAGATACAACAACTTGTACCTCAAGGTTGAGTCAATAAAAAACTACTCCTATATCAGTTCAATGTGGGTGCATATACGATGGCGATACCAAATTTTAAAGACCATGTAAGGATAATCATACCTATTACTTTGGATTATAATTTCTAATGGAAACATGGCATCAGAATAATCATCGTAGGAACAGGATGAAGCACAATAATAACTATTTAGTTACCGCATCAGACATGTTGCAATGAATCTTCGTAACAGAATCACCAATTTCCAACTCTTGGCCAATTCCATAAGCAATATGAATCTTTGGACTAAGATCTGGTCTTTTAACATCTTTGGGCAGCTTCACTGTCAGATTAAGAGGACCACATTTTGGATCTGCATATTCACGAAATGGCAACGCAGATATAAACTCGGTACAATGTCGTGGCAATCGCTCCTCAATATAGCTATGTGGTGGCCAATCTTTAAGCTTAAGAAGCAGAGGCAAACCCATTGGGCCAACCAGCCGACGGGAATACCCCTTAAAAAACATGTGAATATTTACATCAACCTGCATTTTGAGTACACAAAAGCGACAATGATGTTATAAACTTTGTTTCAAAAAAAATTGATTAGGTAAGAAATGTTGCAATATAGGACATATTTTTTTAAGAAATGGCAATCAAACATCTTATGGGTCTACAAGGCCATAAAGTTAAATATGGTAAAACCAGAAAAGCGATACAGATATGTACATAAAAAAGAGAACTGGTATTAATAGAAACTATAGGCTAATTGCATTTGAAGTTTTAATAAGGGATATTAAATGAACAATATTAGGAAGATTACAAGACATAATACTAGTTGTTAAAAAATATATTTCATAATTTGGATAGAGATTAACAATCAATGATTTTATAAGTCACTTTATGCATGTGGTAGTCACCATTCCTCGGCACCAGTTCCAGTTTAGAACAATGCTTAAACGTTAATAAGAAACAATTATTGAGGATATCACAAACCTCACGCCATGTCAGGCATCCAAGAGCGATAAATGAGAGTCTTTCGTCTTTATTTTTGCCACATAGGCCCCGTTCGCTTGGCTGAATTTGGCTGAAAAACACTGTTCCGGTTGAATTGTTGTGAGAAGAAAACACTGTTCCGGCTGAAAAAAGAAGCCAACAAGCCGACTTTTAAGGTCAGCCATTGGTTCCCAGCTCAACCCAGGAGTCAAAGCAAGTGAATCACGAACAATAACAGGCTGACCCTTCAACCAGTGCTCCTGGAAATGATCTAGACTTCCATTTTGAACATCTCTAGCAGTTGGACAATATATGTAGTTATCACAGGAATTCTGTCTACAGGATGATTTCCTAGATGTTATGTCATTCATGTCACTAGATTCAGTGAAACAGGAACATTTTGAACTGTCCAACTCCAGCTTTGTTCCATTGTTGATCACGGAATTGGATTTCTCTAGTAACTCAGCAATAAACTTCTCTTCAAACAAGCACTTAAGTTCAAGAAGAGAACTACCACAACCACCAAATGCATTTGGTGGGCAAGGTATGCTTCCATTGCTATTTGCCCTCCACCCTCTCAATCTAGGATTGTTGTCCTCAGCAGAAACTGCGCTACCTATCAGCATGCCACTCTGTCCATCAGATTGTTCTTGACTTGCAACTTTACCATGACTACTTCCCTGTTGCGAATCTTCCTTGCCTCCATGATCAGTTAGACTAGTAGCTTTGTCACTATTAACACCATCACCAGGAGCATGCCCTCCACGAAGCTCCTGGCTGCAGCTGAGGCAGAGATCATAGGAACAATTGTTACAGCTTCTGTGGAAGTCAGCAATAGAAGTCCTGCAGTTGTTGCTGTTACAAAGATAGCAATGAATTAGACACTTCAAGAAACAAATAATTTGCACGCAGCAATGTACGTAAACCCAAACCAACCAGCATATCCGTGCATCGTGTCTAATTGTAGCTAGAGGAACCTTCACTTTGCATGCATCAATCCCTGCTATAACAGAAAATTAGGAACAGCACAAACACATGGAATAACAAACAAGAAGCATCCATGTTCTTAAGCCAGATGTTTATATAATTGCATTGCAATGATAATACCTTGAATTGAGGCCTCAATCTTCTTCTCAAGCATCTGATCTTCATGAAAATCTTTCAGCCAAGGGATTAGAAAATGCACAATGCGCAGGGAGAACTTGACAGTATTGTCTCTAATACGCTCCATTTGTCAACTTGTAGAAAAGGAAATGTGATACAATCAAATGCATTGGGGCCAGGAAATAGAATGCAAATGAAAACAGAAAAGGCATACCTTATTTATTACATGTACACACAGACAAGCCTTACAGTTGCAAATATTTCGACAAAATGGGCAATGTTCCTCAAAATCATGCTCTGATAAATGTGGATACCTGTTTAGGCCATGTCAAAAACACAAACAGTGGGCAGTTCAATATCCAACGACATAAAATGCACTAGCACGGTGACTGAAAAAAAGATACTACAAAGAGACTACACAAGATGCAAAAGAACAAGCATAATGCCAGCTCAATAAAAAATGAGTTCTGCAAGAGCCAAACCAGCGCTTGATGCACTTCACACAGTATCTCCTCTTAACAATTTTGCACCCCAGGCACCTTATAACTCTTCCATTGTCATTTCTCTGGCACTGATGGCACATGTTTGATGCTCCGGTCACCTGCACCTTCTGCAAATTTTAGGAACAAGCTTAATAGCATGCAAAGCCCTCTTAACAAGCTTATAGGAAATGTAAAGACTATAGTTCAGAACAAGCTTCCCAAAATGTAAATGCTTCTGATACACGTTGCGGCTTAAGAAATTGCATGCACCATAAGTAATGTGCTCATATACTTCATATATACCGTGTACATAGCTATAAGGTGCGTAAAAGATGCCTCTTTGATGGATTTCAGCTGTCGGTCCAGCTGGTCCTGCAAGAAACTGCAGACCAGGCACACCTTTGGATGCTCACGATGCTAAGGTGCTAGGCTGCCTGCCTGCCTGTTGTGGGTTGATCCTGTGTTAGGGATGGTAGTAATGTGTTTCCAAGGGCATGTATGTGTTAAAAAAAAACTAATCCCAGCTGTGGAATCAGTCTGTAAATAGGACTGCTACTAACTAGTATTAATACGATGACACAGTTTTCCGGCATGTTAGAGAGAGAAAAAAATAGTGGGTAAAAAACGTGATGCAAGCATGTGCCCCAGCCCCCAAATGCAAGTAGAATGTACAATGAAATCGAGCTAAGTTTAAGAGCAAAGCAAAAAATGGATAAGCAAATCCAGTGCAAGCACATGCTAGAACTTAATTACGTTCACAAGATTGGTCCGCCACTATGGATAACGAAATGCTTGGTTTAAGGAATGGGGTGATTCATCGTCGTCTTCTTTTTTTCGTCTTCTCGCTCCTCACTTTTTTATTGGTCTGTGAAATAGAATGAGTTGAGCCACACTATGGATTGTAACATAGAGTAGTTCCTTAAACCAAAGTACCAAACGAGAGGTGGATGGAGAATATCGACATTTCAACTCTGGCGTTTGTATCTGCAAAAATGGTACTAGGTTGCACAATCATAGAACACGTCAAATAGTAACGGCATCGAATAATTACCCGGGTGGCAGATTCGGCGAACAGAGACTTTCGCTTGGACATCCCGCCGGCGAGCTTCATTCGATGCCTGCGCCTACGGCGGCGAGGACGCGAGGGAACCCGGCTTGCCGGAAGGAACGCCGCCTCGTCGTGGCCTCACCTCATGGGCCGCCGGCCGCCGCTTTGAACCAGTGAAGAGGAAGGGACGGGTCGATAATTAATAGCGCTCCCGGGGGACCCACGCGTCATAGACCAACAAGGGTTCGGGCATCGCTGCGGTTCCCTTATTTTTTACTATTTAACTCTTTTTTCCATGAAAATTTAGATTTGGTCCTTAAACTCATCTTTAGCTTAGGATCGACGCCATGAATTCTGACGTCGAGATAACACGTCTTGACGCACGTATCTGGTACCTCAACATCATAATATATAATGCTGAGCTCGACGCCGAGATCTATAGCGATCTATAGCGCGACGCCTGCAAGACGATGGGACGTGAGGGGCACTGCTGTGCTGTAGCAAGAGGCCATGATGCGCACTGTAGCAAGAGGGCTCGCTGTTGTGCACAGTGTTGCGCTGCTTTTTACTGTACAGTGTCTGCATAGCATGTTGCAGCAAATACGTGTGCTGTAGTCTGTACTGCCGTGTGCACACATTGGAGGCAAATGATAAAAGCGTATATCAGTTTCGTGCTTGTGCTTCGCTCTGCAGCTCGAACTATGTGCACGTCCTTATTGCTGACACAATAATGACTCCATATCAATTTCCAGGACTTGAATTTCTAGATCCTCATGAGTTCCGATCACGAGCCTAGATAATCAGTCAAGATGTTCCGGGTTAGCAGTCGAAACACCAAAAGAATAAACTGCTAAGAACAACATTCTATTCCCAACCCTGTATTTTACTCCTGTAAATGTAAGATGTTTTTTTCTCTTTAAGCCAAACTCCTCTAACTTTGACCACGTTTATAGGAATGCACTGAATTCGAATAATGCTATAAATAATACTGATATATTTTTCTATAAACTTACTCAAAATTTTAGATTTTTTTCTTAATAAAAAAAATAAAACATGTTTTACTTCAAAAGAATGGAGGGAGTAATGCACATGGTCTTATTTGAACCTTAAATTATAATACTGTCCAGTATAGGATCACAAACTTCTTCAAACTGTCAGCCTATGTCGTATCCTATACCGGATTTGGAGGGTGGTGTACTGGTGTTGGTCAGTTGAACCTCAAAGTATATATATGAAAAATAGATCATGGTGACCATGCAATAAAATGAAACATTTTGTCAAAAGAAATGTGGCTGTATGTTCCCTATGCGAAAAATGAAGTAGGTTCCCAATACTTGTTGTGTTTCACATAATTATAGGACATGTTCGCTGGTTGGTGCTGGTACTGGTTTAAGCTGGCTGGTGCTGGTTTTTTTGAGAGGAAAATACTATTAGCTATCTGGTTTGGGCTGGCTGAAACCAACGAGCGAACATAGACTAATAATGGTCAAACTTACCATGACTTTTTCGACGTCCTCATTTTATAGCATGCATGACCTATACAGATGACCTTTTGAAAAGAAAAATTCGATGCTGCGCATTGCAAAACCACTGTCCAAACCGACCTAACAGGCTTTAAAAACCAGCGCAACACTGTACATTAAAAAACAGCGCAACACTGTGCACAGCAGAGAGCCCTCTTGCTACAGCACATCATGGCCTCTTGGTACAGTGCGCAGCATGGGCTCTTAATACAGCACATCCGAGAAGCCTGAGCAGTAGCAGACACAGTGACGACGACCATGCTGATCCGTGAAGCCCGCCTGCCTGTCCACCGGTTAAAAAAAGGGAAAAAGCCCGCCTGCCTGTCCACTGTCCAAACCGACCTAACAGGCTTTAAAAACCAGCGCAACACTCCATTTTGTTTATAATTTTGGTTCGGTTGTGCTAGCGCCCGTACGCCCAAGCTACACGCTACACTCCATTTTCCACGCTCAGGTCAGCATGTCCTCGCCCGAGCCCATTTCGCGTGCCCACGCGGGGCCTGCGTCGTTAGACCGCGCATAGGGACCGGACCGCTCGTGCCCCCTTCACTTCTCACGTACATTGCAACATGTACAACATCTAATCTACTTTTACAATATACGTCTAAAACAGCTGAAACACTTACGACATACATCTAGAACACTTGCAAAACATCAGAAAAAACTTAAAAACACGTGTTTAGCAATTGCAAACATCAAGATAAAACACCAACATACGTATGAAAAACACCTAAAACACCTGCATATATATACAACATCCCGATCTACTTTTGAAACATCCATATGAAACATTTGCAACATACATCTAAAACAGATGAAACATTTGGAACTTACACTTGAAACATACGAGTATAGCACATTGCAACATGTGCAATATCTCGATCTATTTTTGCAACATCAATATAAAACGCTTGCAACATACCTCTGAAACACTTGAAACATACGATTACAACATGTGCTTTCAGCGTAATGTCACCTTGCTGCTCGGATAAATGGAGGCTCGTCGTTGCGGAGCTCAACGCTGGCGCAGAGGTCAATAGTGGTGTGGGAAATTCGCCGACGGGGTGGCGTCACACGAAGCTCCTTCTCTCGTCTGATTGATGGAGCATCCAATAAGGCAGCGCGGGAGTGACGCCGAAGACGAGGAGGCACGCGGTGTCGTACCTGAGGAGGCACGCGCTGGCGCCGATGAGGAGCAGCGCGGGGTGGAGTCGGTTGTAAAGAACCTCTGGGAGCAAGCCGAGGTTCTCCCCGACGTCACAGGCGACCCTGAGCAGCGTGAGGCGGCTCTAGTCGGCACCGAGTGAGACCTTGAGTGCGTGCAAGTAGAGCGCGAACGTGGAGCTGGCGCCGCCCGCGACCTGCACCCAGGTGGCCGCCCCTAGCCCCAGCCACGGCGGCCAGCTCTCCGCCTTCACAGACGCTAGCACCCGCATCTCACTCGCCGCGGGGAGCACCAGAGCAGCGTGCGCGATGTACAGTTCAGACGTACTGCGAGGCTATGAGGGAGGAGCGGTGTGTGGTGGAGACAGAGATACGTGTGTGCATTTGCCACATACAGGTTGTTATGGGCCGGTCCACCCTTGCATCCGGGTGGACGTTTCACCGATGACGTTGTGGTGCACTGTTTTTCAAATTTTGAATGCGAATGGTAATAAGATGGCGAATAATTTCAAGTTTATGCTAGCAATGAGTTTCTTTACGGGAATGTGCACAGTATAACGTTCTCACTGTTTAGAGTTACGAACGTAAAAAAGTTTTTCGCAAAAAAGGTAAAAAAATGATTTAGGACATGTTTGATACCATTCTATTTCACTGCTATAGTAGTTTTTCTTCAGATTCTCATAGTAAATAAAAATTGTAAAATGTCTATAATATCTTTCTTTATTTTTTCCTTTATTTATTTTTTTACTCTCTGTTTTCTCCTTATTCTCTTCCTCATCGGTTCGTTCTCCATTCTTCGCTCCTACTCATCTCACAGCATTGTCCTTTTCTTTCCTCTTTCTCTATCCTCTTCTTCATACGCCTACTCATCCCACCGCCCCTCCTACTATTGCACCTCATCCCATGTGCATGGAGGAAGGGTATTCGGGGCCCGTAAGCAAGGACGACGGAGCAGAAGAATCTTGGAAAATTGGTTTTTCAGCTCCATCCATTGTCCATGCCTCATTAGACCATGTTTTCGCAGGTCCACGCGATGAGTTGTTCCTTTTTCACTCGTTTGGTAATAAAACTATGCACAACTGCTCATGAAGATGCTGCAGAATCTCTAAAAAAGGCCCTTAGTTCTAGTGTGAGTAATTAATAGGCGATAGTCATTAAGTGTTGTTTGTGTGGCAAAAACTTCATGCCTCGTTCATAGCTACAAATAACCAAGGAGTTTAGTTTCCTCCTTTTACCAAATTTAGAAAAAAGGGTTGTTAGCTGAATCAATATACTCCATACGGAGTAGCATATAAGAGCATCTCCAAATACCAAAAAATAATCCTGAAAACAGAATTTGCAACTTTTTCAATAAATATTGGAAATGAAAAAAATAATAACATCACCAATGGCT